GCTGGGATTACAGGCATGCGCCACCATGCCCAGCTAATTTTTTGTATTTTTAGTAGAGACGGGGTTTCACCTTGTTGACCAGAATGGTCTCAATCTCTTGACCTCGTAATCCACCCGCCTCAGCCTCCCAAAGTGCTGGGATTACAGGAGTGAGCCACCGCTCCCGGCGACAGTGTCCTTATTGGCAGCTGGCTAGCAGGTGGGCCAGCACCTAAATATCATCTTATAGTCTGTCTTCCACTAACTCTTTTTTTGAGACAATGTCTTGCTCTGTCGCCAGGCTGGAGTGCAATGGTGCAGTCACTGTAACCTCCACCTCCTGGGTTCAAGTGATTCTCCTGCCTCAGCCTCCTGAGTAGCTGGGACTACAGGCACATAACACCATGTCCAGTTAATTTTTTTTGAAAACATAGTTGGCATTTAATAATATTTTTAAATACATGAAATTTCAAATAATGTATACAGGTAGGAAATTATTTTTAAAAACTTTTAAAAATAAGATGCTCTTGCTGGCAACTTATTACTGCTGCTACTTTGGACTAAAAGGGTACCCTCGTTAAGTTTTGTATTTTTTAGTAGAGACAGGATTTCACCATATTGGCCAGAATGGTCTCAGTCTCTTGACTTTGTGATCTGCCTGCCATGGGCTCCCAAAGTGCTGGGATAATAGGTGTGAGCCCCATGCCCAGCCTATTACACTAACACTTAAATTGGGTTTCCTGGAAAGCAGACTCTGAAGCAATAATTTGCAGAAAGAGCATATAGGGAAATGCTTTTGAGAATGGCACCTGTAAGGGAATGAGGGAAGCAGGAATAGCCAGAGTTATTGAACTGCAAAGCGTTTGTAACAGATCCCTCAGTGATTCCTACTGGAAGCTCTGAACTGGGATGGCCCTTCAAAACTGTCCTACATTAAGGCAAGGGAGTGGGCTTTGTATCTTTACATCTGCCAGTTGTTAAATATGGTCTGCCTGTAGAGAGGAGGCATAATTTTGGTTGTGGGAGCTCCCTTTGGCTGAAGTTAACACCCAGAGAGGGACTCAGCTGTGAATTTTCAGCAGCCAACACTCCCAGCAGCTGGGAGAATGAATGTTGTGATCCTAAAACGTAGATGGGGGCAGCATCCCACAGCATCCACTGCATTCAGTTATCACATCTGGGCTATAAAGCAGCACAGAACTCTACAAAAGTGGACTTCATGATGGCTTATCTGAGCTACTAGCCTAGGAGCAGGGCCACCTTTGTTGAAGTTAAATTGTGAAATAAATAATCAAGAGCATGAACTCTGGCCAACCTGCCTGAATTCAATGGCTTGGCTTGATATAACTGGAAGTTTCTCCTCTCTAAGGCCTTGATTTCCTTGTCTGTAAAATAGGACTTACATAATAGCAGTGTTGTGGTAATGAGATTATGTGTACTCAATATATAGGACAGTGATAAGCACCCTATCAATGTCAAATCAGTCTATGCTTTCTCATAGCAGTTAAAAGCAATTCTCATATTTGATTGGTGACTCTAGCAATGCTTTGTGTGCTAAATGATGCCACCTCTGCTCTATAATCTTGGGGAAAAACTCATTTTCCCTTCTTTCTTGAAGGCTTTTCCTTGAGTTGGCTTTTCTGTGCCTTTGAAGCAGTGTAGTACGTGAGCCTGATGGTTGAGTGGGGGCCTGGGTAGAAAGGGGAGGGTGCTACTGGGCTTGTGTGGGCACTAGGGAATCAGGCCTGCTATAGAGCAGTAGGAGGGTCTTTGGTTCTTGCATATAAGGGCTAGGTTCCACATTAGGTTTATGTGGCCAAAAACTCTTGGTCTTGTCTTGTTCTCCCAAAGACCTTGAACGGGATACATGGCTATGACAGAATTGAATTTGAGAATTCTAAGGTCCTGGGCATCTTTCTTTATCTCTTGTTCCCAAGGATCTGACCAGTAGCCATTGTCCTGGCTTGCTCATGCTGTTTTCTTCACCTGGAATGCCCTTCCTACTCCTCTCCACCTACCAAAATGTTTCCAGGTCAGATTCTGCTACGTGGCCCTAGTCAAAACCAACCCTTCCCTCCTTCATGTTCTCAGAGTACTTCTGCCCCACATTATACACTGGAAACACTTCATGTGCTGGGCCAATGACATTCATATTTTTTCTTCCCCAGTACTTAACACAATGCTTGACATCTAACTAGTGAAAGTTTTAAGAACTGTACAACTATAGGGATACAAATTTTTTTCCCCAACATTTGGGCTGAAATGTGTATCTATCCTTCTCCTCTAACTCCAAGGTTGTAATCTCCTCGAAGCCTGGATCAGGTTCTGTTTATCTTTATGTCCGCTGGAGAGTTTACTTAGCACAGGGCCGTCACACCACAGGTTCTCAACAAAGGTGTACAAAATTCTATAAATCAATGTGAATATTTGTATGCTATTATCTATGGGTTGAGCTGTCTGGGAGAGCTCTGGATTAAATCCACAGGCTGTTTCCACATACGAATGATCTGAGTTACAAATGCTTATTTTAAAATTAGAAGTCACTATTTTCTACCCCCAAACAATTCTTATGAAAACTTATTTTCTTCCTGGTTCACCATGAAGAAAGTAGGCTTGTAAAAAAAAGGATCCCATTGGCAACAGGCTCGAGCTTCTGCAGATGAGAGAGAATAGCTCATTTATTTTACAGATATGTATTGAGCACCTATTTTGTGCTGGCATGGTATTTGGTGCTGGTGCTGGAGACAGACAGTAAACATGATTTTTAAAGTGAAATTGTCAAGAAAATAAAAATACATCTACCTGAAAACGTGTACATTTGTGTCCATAGTAGAATTATTTATAATAGCCAAAAAGTGGGGAGAACTCAAATGTCAATAAACTGGTAAACAGAGAAATAAAATGTGGTATGGCCATAAAATAGAATACTATTTGGCTATTTAAAAAGGAATACAAGTACTGCTTATACATGATACAACATGGATGAACCTTGGAAACATGCTAAATGACAGAAGATGGTCACAAAAACCCACATGTTTCCATCTACATAAAATGTCCAGAATAGGCAAATCAATAGAGACAGAAAGTACATGAGTGGCTGCCTAAGGCTAGGGGTGTGGAGGTGCCAGGGAAGAGGGGCGAGTTTGAAAAGAAATGGGAGCCGACTGCTAATGGGCCCAGGCTTTCTTTCTGGGGCCATGAGAATATATTATAATTGATTGTGATGATGACTACTCAACTCTGAGAACTGAAACCATTGAATTGTATGCTTAAATGGGTGAATTGTATGGTATGTGAATTATATCTCAATTTTTTTTTTTGAGATGGAGTCTTGCTCTGTCACCCAGGCTGGAGTGCAGTGGCATGATCTTTGCTCACTGCAACCTCTGCCTCCCAGTTTTAAATGTTTCTCCTGCCTCAGCCTCCCAAGTAGCTGGGACTACAGCTGCATGCCAGCACGCCCAGCTAATTTTTTATATTTTTAGTACAGACAGGGTTTCACCGTGTTAGCCAGGATGTTCTCGATATCCTGACCTCATGATCCACCCACCTCAGCTTCCCAAAGTGCTGGGATTACAGGTGTGACCCACTGTGCCTGGCCTATATCTCACTTTTTAAAAGTAAAATGTATGGTACATCATATAATAGGCGTTATGGAGAATGATAAAAAGTATAGAGACAGATAGGGTAGAGCAGGGATGAGGAAATTTTGGAGAGTAGGGCTGGGATACAATTTCCGTATGGAGCATGGAGGGAGGGTCTCACCCATAAGATGACATTTGAGTACAGACCTGAAGGAGGTCAAAAGGAAAATCTTGGACTTTCACAGCTGCAAAATAAGGAAAGTTTTTTTCCATCACCAAGTCATTCCCAGAGTACAGTTCAGATATAAAGAACATAGATTAATTAGTAATAACATAATTTTAGGAAGTCTTTAATGCTAACATTATTTTCATATTTCTTTATGTAAGAATTTAAGGCCAACATTGGTTAGAAAACAATAAATGAGTACACTGTGGATTTAGGAATTTTGGAAGTTTTATATGGTGGAGATTTGGTTTACATTATTTTGGAGGTGTGCACCAGGATGCTGTGTAATGTAGTTGTATTTATTTTTCCTTTTGTTCTCCTCAGTTGAAAAAAATAAGTATTAATGAACATTCCAGTCAGCAATTTATTCACAAATAACTTTTTCCTTTTAGAACATGAATTTTTTTCCTTCTCAACTCTTTGACATTAACGTTGTAAACTAAAAAAATAAAACCTAAAACAAACAAATAAAAAACGTTGTAAACAAATACTATGAATGACAGTGAAATAGAACAGCTCTTTGAAGCCTGTACCTCCTTATTTTGGCCAAAGGAGAGCACTAGAGAGCTTTTGGGCTATTGAAGGGCTCCCAATCCCAAAGGGCTGGGTGGAGCCTGAAGCATTCCTTCAGCCAAGCTTAGCTCAAGTCCTGGCTCAGAAGCCAACAGCACAGCACTTTGCTAAAGGGCAAGCTCAGACACATTTCCACAACATCTAAGGCTTCTTTAGCCTCAAATGTGATGTTCTGCTAAATCTTGAACATTTCATAATGTGTGCTAACCCCTGATACTTGTTTTGTGTTCTGCTTGTGTTTTCAGCTCTTTGGGAGGTAAGTCATGATTTTAATTTCATTTTACATAAAGCACACAAAAAAGAAAGAATCACCATACATGTTTAAGGGCACATGAGCTCCACTGAGGAGAGGCAGTAGTGGGTATGGACAAGACACAACCTAAAACTTCTGACTGAAACTACCCCGTTGAAAAGCCAATGGCCCAAACTTGTCTTAATTATCAGAAGTCTTAGGTTTCAATTTTGATAGGAAAAGACACTAAGGATAACATCAGCTAATTAGCTTACAATTTGAAAAGTGCATAGATGTCTAATAATGGAGCAGGCACTTAAAATTTATAATAACTAGGGTATCAAGAGTAGAAGACAACAGACACTCTAAACCACTGTTGATAGAAATAGTCTTTTTTTTTTAATTATAAATACCATTTTATTTCAATTTTTTGCAGATCTGGTTCTTGATAATCTTAATTATCAAGAGTCATATACAGGGAATAAGTTGATGTTCACTATGATTCAAGCTACTACTGTCCCATAGTCAGTAGAGCTTTTTTTAATGTCCAGAAAGAATACTTTCAATCTTTATGAACAGCCTAGGATTTTGCAGTTGTTTTTGAAGACTGGAGTTCCCCCGCTTCAAATTTTTCTTTGAATTTTAAGTAGTCTCTTCTTTTATCGAAATATTTTATCCACTGTTGGGGACAACTCCATTCTAAAGAGCTTCTTAACTTCTTGCATTGAGAAGCATTGTCTGTGTTCTCATCTAAACACTTCCAGTACTCATCCCGGGCTCCCCAGCAGACCTGCCTTTCTTTCATAGATGGGGCTGCCATTCCTAATGGGATGAAGCTCTCTGCCCGCCCACGTTTGGCTTCCTTTGGACATCGACGGGAGCAAAGCAGAAATAGTCTTATAGGAAGGAAATGTGATTGAAAAAAAAAAAAAAGAAAACCTTTCAAAATTTTAAGTGTGCATAACTTCAACCCGGCAATTTCATCTCTAGATATAAGTTCCCCAGAAATGCTGCACATGCACACAAAAAATTTTATTTATAATAGTTATAATAATATTGATAATAGCATTTAGCACTTACTATGGGCTAGGCGCAGTTCAAGAACTTCACATACGCTGGCTGGTTTATCTCTAAAAACAGCCTGGCAGTCCCCATTTTATTGATGAGGAAGCTGAGGCAGGGACAGGTTAAGTAACAGCTGTGAAGAGGTGGAGACAGGATTTGAATGCAGGGAGTCTGATCCCAACGCCCCTGCTCTTAACCACTATGCTATGCAATACAAGGGTATTTGTTGTAGCATTGCTTATAATGGTGTAAAACTGGAAATAACTCATTTTAGCACTAGTAGAATCATTAAATAACCAATGATTCCACTAGTGCTAGTGCTAGAATGACATATTGTCAAAATGAAGTCAATCTAGGTGCCCTGACACAGAAAGGACCCCAAAAGCACATTGTAGAAAAGGAGAAGGAGAAAAGCAATTCTCAGAATAATACATATAATATAATTCCATTTGTGTTGCTTTTCAATTACACCTTTGTATTTGGATGTACATTCAAGCATAGAAAAAGGATGGAAGAACGTACAGATACCAAACCGTACCAGTTGTAGTCTTTGAGGAGAGTGGTATTGGGAAGGGGGTGGTTTTAAAAGAGGAATTTCGTGTTTTACCCTATATAAGTCTGTGTTACTTAAAAGTTTTAAAATAAAATATATTTATATACTACTTCTGCATCTTTTTAAAAAAATGGGGCCACTCTTTCAAAGACTGAAAAAGGACATACTTGGACTGGGCAAGGTAGTCCCAGCACTTTGGGAGGCCAAAGTGGACAGATCGCTTGAGCTCGGGAGTTTGAGACCACTGTAGGCAACATGGCAAAACTTCATCTCTACAAATACAAAAAAATTAGTGTGGCTGCTCAGGAGGCGGATGTGGGAGGATAGCTTGAGCCCTGGAGGTAAAGGCAGCAATGAACCATGATTGCACTACTGCACTCTAGCCTAGGTGACAGAGTGAGACCCTGTCTCCAAAAAAAAAAAAAAACATGGTATGAAAATCAAAGGGAATCTTAGCAGAGTTCAGGCAACACTTTGATAGTACTAATGAAGAAACCACAGTGTTAGGAAGTAAAATGAAACCTGCATTTTTACACCTACAATGGCTGCTCTAAGCTAGAGGCTGCCCGCCTGACTCCTGCCCCAGTGCTCTTTCTATGTTACTACTTTGCCTTTCACTCTGGAGAAACTTCTGAAAATGAGTTATGCACTATCTTAATGTGTTTTGACAGTTACTTTTTTTTTCATAAATTCATTGTTATGTGGCTTTCTAAAATGTTTTGGAAGAACATATGTCACTCATTCATTCAACAAAGATTTATTAAATAAAATAATTAGATATTAGCAATTAGTTGCTAATTGTTATATGCCAGGTACTGTGCTAGGCCTTGGAAATACAATGTTGCTTAAGATATACACAGATGTTGTCCTTGAAAATTATGGGAAGATGTTCATCACATAACCACACATGAAAAAAACACACTATGAAGCTATATATCCTAAATGAAAATGCACAAAAATGTTAACAGTTATTTTTGGAGTTTTAGGAGATTTTTATGTGGTTCTTTATATATTTCTATGTTTTCTTTCTTTAAGAAGTTTTCAATTGGCATGTATTTCCTTCATAATGAGAAAAATATATTTTAGAGAATCAACTAGTGCTCTTTGTGTAAGTTTTAAAACCTGTTGAACTATATGAAAAGCAAAGAGAGTCATTATACCAGAGGAAAGGAAATGTTTTCCTGCAAAGAAAAGTCTTGGACAAACACTTCTATTCTTGATGCTGAACCATAAGTCTATGGAATTCCCAGAGAAAAGGCTTTTCAGAGGGCACTTCTGGAGCTATGAGACATCTTTTGTTATATTACTAAGGGACATCAGACAGTACACTTCACAGGAAAAAACTATGGAAGGCACTCCAAGCTAGTAGTTTAGTCCTCAGGCTTTGGAGACAGATCGTATGGATGCAGAGCCAGCTCAACCCCTTTCTAGCTATGCAACCTCAAGAAATTTGTTTGCCTTTTTGAACTTCAGTTTCTCCCTCTGTGAATGGGAATAATAGAAGATAATGTATGTAAAGATATACATATGCAAGATAATGTATGTAAAGAGCTTAAAACTGTGGTCGGCACATTATTGTGCTTAGTTTATGTTACCTGCCACTTAGCTCAGAAGCAAAATCAAATTCTCGCTTCCCTGATACCCATCTACCCACCACACATACAGTCTGCACATGCATATGCACCCTCACACCAAAGAAATACAGGCTAGACCTTAGAGAAAATGTCTTTAGTGCTGCTTCAGCAATTACACAAATTAACTCATCAACCTAGTGATTGGACTAAAAATGAAACAATCCTGCATATTAAAATATAATAAATAGAAAATGATACACTAAAATGTTTTTCTTTTCACCATGTGTTTTAGGCTTCCTCAATGTCCACAGAAATCAGTCTCAATCATAGACAAATGAAACAGAATAGAGAACTCAGAAATAAATTCACGCATTTACTGTCTACTAATTGTTAACAAAGGCACCAAGAAGACACCTTCAGGAAGGACAGTCTCTTCAACAAACTGTGCTAGGAAAACACAATACCCACATGTACAAGAATAAATCTAGATCATTATCTTACCATATATAAAAATCTACTCAAAATAAAGATTTAAATGTAGGACCTGAAACTACAAAACTACCAGGGAAGAAAAAAGAGGATAAATACTTCATGAAGTTGGTTAGGACAAGGGATTTTCAAATAGACATCAAAAGCAGAAGCAACAAAAGCAAAAATAGACAAAGTGCAATTACACTAAATGTAAAGGCTTCTGCAAAGCAGAGGAAGAAATCAGTAGCATGAAGAAACAATCCAGAAAAATGGAAGAAAGCATTTGCAAACTATGCAAGAGGCAAAGAGTTAATACACAAAACATATAACGAACTCAAACTACTCAAAAGCAAAAAAAAAAAAAAAAAAGCTGTCTTTATTAAAAAAAAAAAAAGAAATCAGTCTCAATATTTTACTATGTCCTTGGCTTCATTTTCCAAATCCCTTAAAAATAACCAATAATGGAGGAACTCTGGCAACAAAAGAAGGCTTAGCCCTGTGTGCAGGGTTCCCAATTAAGCTAAGGTCTGGGTGCTACCCTGACATATGACAAGCAGAGTTTTCCAGCTTGAAGAGACCATATAGGCTTGGACAATGAGGACATCCACAGCACCCATGATGCCTTAACCCTTACCCCTTGCCCATTAACAGAAAGTTGACACATCAGCACTTTGATACTTTGAAGAACCATTGCCAAAGACCTTGCCTTTGTGTAATGTATAGTGTGTGCTAGATTTTGGAGGAAAGCAAAACAATTTATTAAACCTACAATGAAATCATAAGATTATTTTCCAACAAGTAGTCCTATTGCTGAGAGCCCTCTTGTAACTATGATGGAAGCCAACCTGGGTACAAAGAGAGCAGACAGCATAAATAAGGTCAGAAAGAAGAAAAGTCATACTTCTGATCCAACTACGTCTGAAGCTTGGAATGACGTCTGGACTCCTCAGTTATATGTGACAATAAATACCCAAGCTTTTTTTTTTGAGATGAAATCTCGCTCTTTGGCCCAGACTGGAGTGCAGTGGCATGACCTCAGCTCACTACAACGTCTGCCGCCTAGATTCAAGTGATTCTCCTGCCTTAGCCTCCCGAGTAGCTGGGATTGCAGGCACCAGCCACCACACCTGGCTAATTTTTGTATTTTTAATAGAGATGGAGTTTGACTATGTTGGCCAGACTGGTCTCAAATTCCTGACCTCAAGTGATCTGCCTGCCTTGGCCTCCCAAAATTTGCAAAAATTCGTAAAAATAAAAAAATTAGCCAGGTGTGGCGGTGCATGCCTGTAATCCCAGTTATTCAGGAGGCTGAGGCATGAGAATCACTTGAACCCATGAGGCAGAGGTTTCAGTGACGGGAGATCATGCCACTGCACTCCAGCCTGGGTGACTGAATAAGACTCTGTCTCAAGAAAAGAAAAAAAAAAACACTAGAAGAGAAAGAAAAAGAGGGAAAAAGGAAACAAAGTATAAGTGCAACCTCTGTATTAATAGAAATCATTTACAATATGGTAAATGTTAATTATGTCAAAGTAACTTTAAATGTGAATGGTCTAAATTAAAAAAAAAAAAAGCAGACATTGGGCCAGGTTCAGTGGCTCACGCTTAATCCCAGCACTCTGGGAGGCTGAGGTGGGCGGATCACCTGAGTTGAGAGTTCAAGACCAGCCGGACCAACATAGAGAAACCCTAACTCTACTAAAAATACAAAAATTAGCCGGGCGTAGTGGTGCACATCTGTAATCTCAGCTACTTGGGAGGCTGAGGCAGGAGAATCACTTGATCCAGGAGGCAGATGTTGCAGTGAGCTGAGATTGTGCCACTGCACTCTAGCCTGGGCGACAGAGTAAGATTCTGTCTCAAAAACAAACAAACAAACAAACAAACCTAATCATTTATGTTGTATGTACTAGTAAAGCAATCAGGTGTTTGGTAGAACAAGTGAGTTTCCCATTTTGGGTTTTTTTTTTTTTTTTTTTTTTTTTTTTTTTTTGTGCTGGGATTTCAGGTGTGAGTCGCTGTGCCAGCCCCTATTTGGTTTTGAGTCATAGACCCAAATTTACAAAGCATGGACTTTTAAAAGCACAGTCATGCTGAGGTTTTAACAAGAGCATATTCCCTATTACTAAGAATTTCAAATCCTGTTTCTTTTGGAATACTCTTTAGCTTACTTTCATTTTATATGTTTTAAAAGTCTAAGCCATAAATGTGTATTG